AAAGTGAACTAGACTATTATATCAATTTACCTAGTTGAAAGAATGTAATCAATCATACTTTCCATTCAGTTGACTGGGGCTATTTATTGTAGGGTTGTAAAAAAGGCGTTACTGCACAATCCAAATCTATTTAACCTTAAGTGTATTGAGGACTTTAGGAACTTTTTGCAGAACTCAAATTTACGCAAAACATGTTGTTTTACACGATGGCATGACTAATTTTGCTGAAGTGACACCGCAGTGCAAAATAACATATGGAAAATGTATTGAGTATTTCAAACTGACTCTTGCTTATGGATAATAATTGAACAGATTTCCTACCTGACAAATTATAAGAAGCTACCTGGGAAATTTATCATTTTTCCGATCAGATTATTTAGTTCATTGAAAGTATGTCCTGTAAGCTAGTTTTTCTTAGGAAAATGCTTCTTCACTTGACTACCGAAATGATATTGACTTATTATCAATTATATCAATGTTTGGAGTCCTTTATAAGCATTCAATTAAATAATGTATAACAATGATCACGAATTTTCTTTCTAAAACCTGTTCAGAAAGCAGCAATAAACAAAAAAGTTCAATGCATTTGTGAATGAACAAAAAAAATTTATCTAAACACTAATTCAAATAACTCTACGGAGTTTCATATTCATCCAAGTATCATTTGAGGTGGTCTCTTTCTTTCTCGTTTGTAAGCTAGTATATATGAAATGCTGAGTTTGCCTGAATCCGATCGTTAATGATCAAATTCGTGGTGTTGAATTAATCGTCACTTGCCAGAGAGACAAACGCGAATTCTTTTCGGTAATAAATCACGGCCGCTTTCGAAAAGACGAAATAGCCGCCGTATTTCACAATCCATTAACTTCAACCGTCAGCGACGCGTCGCAACAAAGACATTATTCACTGAATTCAGATTGGATATGTAGGACATCCCAAACTCAATGAAAAATTCAATGGGGTCTGATTAAACCTTACGCAGTGAACTCATTGGTTTGATCAAATAGGGATTTGTCGTCGATAAGCAAAGAATGCTTTTTTTCGCACTGAGAAAAAAATTCGCTAGTCCTAAGCAAAAATTTAATTTCAGCTGTAGAAATAATGAATTCTGAATGAGACATAAGAACTCTTTAATAACTACAAGTTAAATGGTGATGCTAGAAAGAATCAATAATCTTTATTCACTCAATCACATTAATTTCATCATGTGTCCCAATCTAGGCATGACCTTGGTAATCCTGAGCTCGCACTATTGACTCTACAGGATATACCTACTACATGACTCGATGATAATCCACAAAAATATTATAGGCCCCAATGCTAAACCCTAGAGAACAGCCGGCTTAATGGTTACCATTTGTCACTGAGCATTTCCAAAATTGGTACGTAGACCTTTATTTCTCAAACAGGATTTCAAAAGTTCACCAAAGTCAGATTGGATATATAGAACATCCCAAACTTAATTTACAATTCAGTGGGGTTTAAATTAACCCCACGCAGGATTTGTCATTGAAAGTGGTGACGAATGCTTTCATTTCACTGAGGGAAAACTCTAAGCGGAAATTCAAGTCTGACTATTCGAATGATGACTAAATGGAATAGATGACCCTTTCAATAACCACCAGTATATGTATTACGGGATGGAATCAGTAACCTCTACACATTTGAACAATGGTTTTTTTCTGTGTTAGGAATCGCACTATCAAATATAACACTTGGTTTATGCTCAGCTTGCACAAGTTTCAACTTCAGAGTGAAAATATTCTACTAGGATAGGTCAAAAATAGTATTGTTCTCACCAACTTGATAGATACCAATTATTGACAGAAGATTTTTAATACTGACGCGCAGAGCTTCATTTTTCAAACAAGATTCCATTACTTCCAGTGAGTTCAGATAAGATCTGTTACACGAAAAATTCAGTGCGATCTGATTGAACATAATGCAGTGAACTTAAACACGTTTTGACCAAATAAGGATTTGTCATTGAAAGAGTGAAGTGTACTCTTATTTGCACTCACTTCAAATACCACAAATAAAATTGTATTGAATTAGAAGAACTAAATGTAATGAATCTTAAATGAATTAACATACTAACAAGGAATGAGTGGATAGAGCTGCCGCTACGTTATATGTTGATGCCATATTCCTTTTCACAAGTCAAAATGAGTAGTTTGGTAGTTTCAGTAAGTTTTTTTTAAGAATAAAATACTACCACTACAGAATGTGCATGTGCGAAAGTAGCTAATCGCTACACATTATGGAATGCTGATTTGACTTTTATGAAGAGAATGTAAACACATGACGTGTTTTTTCGATAATTTCTTAAAGACAAAACACAAGCACTACAGGAACATCCTTAAGACGCTCTCAGTGCGGTGCCTGTGTGAAAGTAGCGATTCACATTGGATTTGAATCGCTGGGGATTAAATCCATTTGAAAAAACGTTCTCAGGAAATTTATTTCACATAACGCAGTTCTCCAGTTGAAAGAGTTCTTAAACAGAGAAATTCGAGGTGTACTGAGTTGAACCTCAAAACGATGAGTAGCCACAGTCCGTTGCGGATTTCTCATATGTTCCGCTCTTGGTGGAATGAAATGTGCCAAGTCACTCGAACACTTCCCGTAAAAGTATCTATAGAAGAGAGACAAATCTCTAACCTTTCTTCAATGCTCCAGGCTATCGCGGTTGCACGTGATGTTCGCGTCTCCAATCAGGCGGATGGCTCTTTTCTAGATGGAATCTAGCAACTTCAGGATATGCTTGGGGGTAGACTCCATACACGAGAACAATACTCCAAAGGAGATCTGATCTGAGCTTTATAAAGCATCAAAAGTTGCTGAGGTGTGTACAGTTTTCTGGTTCTGGTTTTAGAAGCAGTCTTTGCAATTCCAGCGACATGATTGTGCCAAGACATATTGGTGTCCATTTTAACCCCCAACAAACAAAACCACAAGTATCAAAGTGATTTAACTTCAATCAATCGCGTTTTGATCAGGTTGCATCGACATCAGAAGAATTAACTATTTTTTTTATTTTCGGAAACATCTCCACGTATGCTAATGAAGCTCACATCCAGTTTAATAGGAGTCTAATAGATCGAGCTGAAAAGTATCCATTTCAATCGTACCGGTGAAAACGCGAAGCGTGACACGTGTCTAAGGAAAGGCAGGGGTTATATGATTCAGCATGCGATACAAAGTGAGGGTTACCTACATATTTTACACTGAACATATATTTTTACTTATAAATCCTCACTTTTCCTATTTCAACGATATCTGGTGAGAATTGATTGCTTCAGCTTGTTTTCTCTTGATAGTTCAATCATAAAAATTTATATTTATTATTGGTTGGAATACTGAGACAAATAAGTGCTTTTTATATATTTCACAGAGTTCATGATGATTTGATGCAGTGGTAACTTAAAAAATGAGAAGGAAACGTATTAAAAAAAGAAAGATGCCAAAATTTAAGGAAAATATATCAGACGATATTTAAAAAGTATCTAACATGAAACAATGTCTCATTTACATAGTTTTTTTGTTGATATTAAGAAAATTTGCGAATTTCTGAATTGATAATCTTACATTTTTATCTGTATTTACCTACCTATCTTGAACCTACTGATTCAAAGAGTAAAGGTTATGAAATTGAGAAATCATGCTTTCGAAGGTCGGTTAGTGAAAAACGGAAATAGAGAAATTATGTATTCATTGAATAAATGGGACGGAGCGGCCATAAGAAATTTTGATGACGGTGAGGTACTGCAGTGGCTTTGATTATTAGGTAAATCCTTATTGATACTCTATTTGAAGATATATAATGATAAAAAAACTGCTGAGTGAAAATGTGTGCAGAGTAGGTTTTTATTCTCACAGCTGCATTTGAAATGATTTTATAGTACTCACTATTCAACTAGTTCCAAGTTGAAAACCGTTTTCTTTAATTTTTGTTACTAAGAACTGAAATTAGTTAGAGTTTCTTATATAGAGGTGAACATTTACATTTGAATTTTTCGTTTATTTCATAAAGTAGCTGAGCACAGTATCAATAATGGATCTTCTAACCAACAACACTATTTATTGAAATGAGTTTTTTGAACATATTGAATAATGCAATTCCTATTTAGTATTAATTTGGTTAAACTTTTGATATTTCAGCATTCATAATAATATTGACTTTTTTTTCAATGCATGAACATTTTGTTATAAACCGAGGGTTTGTTTTATAAAATACTCATTTTGGGAATAAACCATAAGCTTCACCTTTGTGTGAGTTTTGATCCCAGCAAAATCTCATTACAATCATAATGAGTAATGATAATTATAAGAATAAATATTTAAAATACATTTTGAATCACCTATTGAAGACGGATCATGCAATTATCGATTCCCAAAAAAGGAGCAAGGAAACTGAATATATTTATGTTGCCAATGTTATACGTCTAATTATACGTTCTTCTGTATCAAATTCAAAATCATCTCATATCACTGGAGAATCAGTTTATTTGGGTAAGACTTTTGGATAAAATACTATTTCAATAATTTTTAATAACGGAAATATTATTTTTCTTACGAGATAAAATATTCTAATGTAGAGATCTTTGAAATGGTAATCATATTGGAACCGAGTTCGTTGAGACGTAACTTGATCCCTCAATTAGTTTACGTTGAATAATTAGCCGGCCAAGAAATTCTGGGAATTCCTGATATGTGTTTCCATTCATAAAAACTATATAATGAAATCATCGTCTAGAAGATACACCATCGACATCACTTAACATTGCGTATCCTATCATTTTCAATGGGTTGTTAACTTAATTAAATTTAATCATCGTGTAACTTTTTCGAACGAGGTGTTTTCTAATAAATAAACCGAACTGTCACGTATGCATGTTTAAATTTAAGAAAAAATGTCTTTAACTCGGCAAGGGTTGGATCTTTCAGTGTCCCGTTGTGAACAATAATTCGCCTAATTGCTTTCTTGTCTCTTTTTTCAGAAAAAAATTAAGTTCTGGTTCGCCACAGGAGGTGCAGGATTTTGCTTAAGCAGGGCGTTGGCTTTGAGAATGATGCCGGTTGCCAGGTGAGTTATAATCAGTTTTTGCATAATCGATAGGGAATTTCAAAATGAATGAATATTTATTACTCTCCATAGTATCCACATGGACATTTGGACTGTTAAGTATGAAGTAAAACAGGGTAAATGAATTAAAACCGAATAACGTCTTGAATTACACTTCTTGACATGATTACACAGTGAGCACAAATGTAATTCAGATAATCTAGAATTAATCAGTTTTTTTTGCTATTGGATGAAAAGATGTGAATGATTCACAACACAACAAAGTTTTTGTTTCGGGGTTGAAATTAGATGATTTTAATGTATTTCCACGTGTTAAAACCGAAAGTGACCATAAAAATTATATATTAGCTCTTGTTTTCAAGATATAGTATCATTATATTATATATATGTATATTGAGTTTTCAACAAATGAAATATTTCATCACCAACAGTTGGTACACATGTTTGTTTACATAACACCCCTCTCATCAGCTGTTCTTAAGTAGTAAACATAACCTATGTGAGTTTGTCAATTGTACGCACGTGGTTGCTATTGAAATTATCGTGTGAAGTTGATTTTTAAATTAATTTAAGTGCTGATCTGAAATGCCTCGAAAGTGTGTGAATTCTGTCGATAGCTTTTGCTATATATGTGGTGAAATAACATTTAAGGCTCAGAAACGTAAAATGACACCTATCGTTAAGACAGCCTATGAACATTATTTTGGTGTGAAAGTTGGGGACCAAGAAAAATCATGGTCTCCTCATATATGTTGTAATTCTTGTTCCGTCATATTGCGAGAGTGGCTGAAAAATATTGCAAAAGCAATGGCTTTTGCAGTACCTATGGTTTGGCGTGAGCCTACCAATCATACAGACGACTGTTATTTCTGCTTAACTCCTCCCATTAAGCAAGGTTTATCTATGAAGAAAAGAGGAACGGTTGAATACCCTAATCTCCCATCTGATCTTCGGCCTGTACCACACTCAGACAATTTGCCAGTCCCTTCTCCACCCCAAAACTATGAAATTTTAGAGGAAGGTGATGAAGACTGTTTAGAAGGAGCAACCCATCCTTCTACATCCTATGACCCTGATTTTGAGGTAAGCGATAGGTCTAGTGATCCGCACAGAATTAGTCAAGCATAGTTGAGTGACCTTATAAGAGATCTTCGCTTGTCTAAGGAAAAGGCTGAGCTGTTAGGGTCAAGACTACAACAGTGGAATCTTCTAAAACATGATGTGAAAATATCTCAGTACAGACAGCGTCAAAAAGATTTGCTTCCTTTTTTTGAGAAAAAAAAACGTCGTAGTTTGTTCTGATGTTAATAGTTTGATGGACTGCTTGAATTTGGATCACACTCCATCTGAATGGAGACTGTTTATAGACTCTTCAAAACTAAGCTTAAAAGCTGTACTTCTGCATAATGGAAATCAGCTACCCTCTATTCCTATAGGTCATGCAGTTCACATGAAGGAAACGTATATAAATATGAAAACACTTCTCCAATCAATCAAATATGAACAACACAAGTGGCACATCTGGGTGATCTGAAAGTCATTGCTATACTCCTAGGAATGCAATTAGGGTTCACCAAGTACTGTTGTTTTTTGTGTCTGTGGGACAGTCGGGATAGAAAATCTCACTATAAAAAAATGAACTGGCCTACACGAGACCTAAACCCTAATGAGAAAAATGTAGTTTACTCTTGTAGATCCTAAGGATGTTCTCCTTCCCCCATTACATATTAAGTTGGGACTAATGAAAAACTTTGTGAAGGCCATGGACCAGGAAGGACAAGCTTTTAAGTACTTGAGAGCAAAGTTTCCCAGGTTGAGTGATGCTAAAGTCAAGGAAGGCATCTTTATTGGGCCTCAAATCCGTGAAATCGTAAATGATCCTGCTTTTGACATGATTTTAACAGGAAATGAAAAAAGAGCCTGGGAAGCCTTTAAGGGGGTTGTACATGGGTTTTTAGGTAACAAAAGAGATGATAACTTCACAGCATTGGTTAAAGAGCTTCTTCAAGCTTACCACCAACTTGGATGCAACATGTCCTTAAAAATTCATTTTCTTCACTCTCATCTTAATTTCTTCCCACAAAACTGTGGAGCTGTGAGTGACGAACATGGAGAAAGATTCCATCAAGACATTGCCTTAATGGAACAGAGATATCAGGGCCGTTGGAATGAAGCAATGCTTGCAGACTACTGCTGGTCTGTGTGTAGGGATGCTCCAGAAGTGTTTTATAAAAGACAAGCTAAACGACAGCGATCTTACAATGAATAGGATGGACTTAATTGAAATTTGGTGGTACAAACTTCTTTTATTTGTCAAAACACTAAGAATAATGTTTTTTTTTATTAATTTTGTACTTAAAATATTCTAAAGGAAACATAACAATATTGTTTTATGTACTTTCACTTTTCACGTATAGTATAACTACTCTTTAAGATTAAGTACTGTGTATCTCAAGAACCAGAGCTAATAAAAATTTTTCATTGTTATTTTCGTTTTTATCACCCCAAAATTAGTAGAAATTGACTAATTTAGTGTAGGAAACATTAAAAAAATATTTTTTTGTTGTGTTGTGATCGAAGATGAGAAGATGTAAATGAGTGTCGCTGATCTACAACATCGATATGTTTTTGTGAAAAAAAGCAGCCTATATTCAACCACTCAACGATGTTTCTTATTTATTATTTCTCATAAGTTCCACGAACTTCTGCGTTTACATATACGATGGAGTTGGCCGATACTTGATGAAAATCCATAACGTATTCAAAAAACCCTCTATTGTGTAATTTTTACTAAACAGTTCAACAGTAAAGCAACACGTGTTTCGCCATTCAATAGCTTTTTCGGGCGTATTTTTACTAGAAACATGTCTGAAGGAGCAATTGTATGGCGAAACACGTGTTTCGTTTTTGTGAAACTGTTTATTGGAAATCTCACAATGAAAAAGAAAATCAGCCCTAGGTGAACCCTGAACATCAATGATTGTCTGGTCAGTAGACTTACTTTCCAGGTCTGCTACAATATTTCCTATGACTAGCACACTCATTTCATAAAAACATTTAGATTTCCTATCCATGATGATTCACACTATAAACATTTATTTATTAATTTATTTATTTCATACACTATTCTGCAGGATGAACCCAATTACATAGTAGGAAAAAACAGTGGAATTTACAAATATGTACTTACATAATATAATTTGTGAACCTATGTAAAAAAAATTGAAAACAACTGTCAGTTAGCTAATCTAGCAGTTGAATATATCTAGCACACGACTAACAGAATTAGAGGTATCACACATTGTATAAACTGGGGATTTTTCGATTATATTTGTTCGCGGAGTGTTGAGATAAAAGGTGACACTATTCCTGGATGACCATCTAGGAACCCAAAAATTCAACATATGTAACAATTGAGAGCAGGTATTGATATTGTTTGTGACCCCTGAATAAAAAAAAAATACCTCGAGACTACAAAAATTGTGAGTTTCAAGCAATCCATAGTGGGGGGCATTCGTATAGTAGGATACGTGCCTCCAAGTTTTAAAGACATATATTTTAGTAAGCGCCTTTGTTGGGCTTCTAATTGATTTATATGAACCTGCACATGAACAGATGCACATTCCAGCCTAGATGAACAACAGTGAAATAAAGTAATTTCAATGTTGAAGCATTTTCGAAGTCTTTTTTATTCCTAACTAAGAATCAAAAGTAACACCTAGATCAGTGAGTGTGTCAGGACGCTCCAGAACACGATTTAAATTCAGGACGAGACGTTCGCAATCATTAAAACATATGATATTGTAATAGAGTTTCAAGTCATCTGTGTATAAAAGAAATTTGAAATCAATCTCAGCTCCAATATCATTGATGAACATATTGAACAGTAGGGGTCCTAGGTTTGACCCTTGTGCCACACCAGATGTGGCTACATATTCAACAGACTTGAAGCCATCAAGTTAGATATTTCGCTTACGGTTATAAACATACAATTTGAAGAGAGCAATTGAGTCGTTGGATAAACCAGAAGTTTCGCCAAATAAATTGATGTTGTTATATGGAAGATGACCCAAACTAATTCTCATTTAACTCAACATATTTATGTCTAAAATAAGGTGAATTTTCATTTTCTCTTTCAATCAATGATGTCTCAGTTATACTAGAAAATGATCTAGGCTGGTTAGAGTTCACAGGTCATCCAAACTGGGGGTTACCTGATGATTGCAACTTTTTGGTGAAACGCTTGTCTGAAACGGTGTCCATGTTCTGGTGTGTGAGATTTGTTGACTTTTTTCTGCCAACTACGAGCACAGCAAAACAGGATTATTTCTTAGCGACGTCGTTTATCAACGAATTTCTTTGAAACGGTTAGGTTAAGAAATTTTAAAAAAGTCTACTACTTCCTGTTCCTTCAACATTTCTCTAGCCAAAAACTATTCCTACACAAGAAATCAACGACTTCTTTTAAAACGTTTAAGTTAGGAACGTTTAGGATAAAGTCTACTACCTACTGTTCCTCCAACACTTCTCTACCTAAAAAATATTTCTACGCAAGAAATCAACGACTAATTTTAAAACGTTTAAGTTAGGTTGAGTTAGGAATGTTTAGGAAAAAGTCTACTATTTCTTGCTCCTTCAATACTTGTCTACCTGAAATATATATGTCTACGCAAGAAACATTCCAATCAACTTTTTGACTACTCCGAACCTGAGTAAATTAACAAAACCACAAGCACTAATGAAGTTTCGAGGAAATTCTCTACTTCAACGGTGACAGTTGCCATCCAAATTCGTAAGAACAGTAATGCAACCTCTAATGTAGAATGCATTTGATTTTAATTGCGTTTTCAAACACCAAAAGTGTAGAGCACTTCTTATGAACCTCCGGTTTTTCAGCCAACCAAGCAAGCACCACTGGGGAATAATTAAAACTTGATCCAACAACTTTGGAGGACGCCAAGTCTGAGATTGCACAAGGGTTGCATACATTTTGTGAATTT